CCGTGTAGCTACAATCGTATATTTGCTGCTTCGCTCAAAATACCACATAAATTGTCATACACTTTTCTACCTAGAAATCCAAAATGTTACAAACTTCACTTTTTTTACATATTTACCCATACTCAATAATTCTGACAGTGGATTCATATTCTTTCTCAATAAACGTAACATGTAAATATCTTGTTGGACCCATCGATAACATTCCACTAGAATCTTAAACGTCTGTAATAAGCCACATCAGAAACTATTGTGTGAGGATGGTACACCTGAAAATGCTTTCTGTTAATCATTAAGAAGTGACCGAAAGCAGCTCAGCAGACTGAAACACCAAAGATAGGTCGGGTAGAAGCAGTTAACAGCAAACCGAAGAAATACGTTTCGTGACAGTTAACACTCAATAATAAGGTGTATCTCCGGTCCTGATGGAGTTGATGTGCCATAGTGGATTCAGACTCAGCAACCCAGGTTCACAGTCTGAAACGTTACAACCGTACTGTTCTCACCACTAACGTGAGATCAATTAATTTAAACGAACTATTATTGAAAATACCTGTGTGCTTTTAATTTCTTGAACTACCATCTCTTCGGTCAATATTTATTGTACCATAAAAAGATGCAACCAAGAATGATGCTTCTGATGCTTAGTGACCAGAACAACTATATACTGTTTGAAAGCACTTCACATTTTTCTAACTCACTTAATGTTCGTATTGTGATGTCTAAGCCCTAAAACTAGCAAAATTGACCTTAATCCAAAGTTGTCATTCATTTTTCTACTCTAATAACTAAATTCAACATCAACTTCAAACACCTTTCTTAATAAATATTGATAGGCACACAAACTAGTTTGAGATCTTCCCTCAATATCAAGTGATGGGAATGCATTTCAATGTGATGTTTCTTTAATGAACTCAATGAAGTCCCTGTACAATACACCTAACATAAATAACTAACTAACTCAATATCGAACCATTTGTATGTAGTTCATTTCACCAAAAACCGAAATCAAACATCAAATTTCGGCTAGTTTACGTTTATTTAAATAAAAAATATCAGCGACAAAGATAATTCATGGATGAGTCAATATGATTTAAGGTAGTAAGTCTTGAATTTTTACACAAAATTCAATCGTCTATATGGTTGAACAGCATTTTATCATTATGGGTGATGTCACTTCGTGGAGAAAACCCCAACTTTAATTAATAACCTTATTTTCCAACTCTGAATCCTAATCCTATTTCCTCATACTAATCCATAACCTTGTTTTAACCCTAATAAATGATTGAATTTTCTTAAGGTCATTACGACATCACTGAAAGGTCATCCATAAATTATAGTCTCATCGAATAATTTTCAATATATCTATTACACTACTTCTCTCGGAATTTGTTTTACATTTGTTTCAATTGCTTTGAACAAATGGATTTATAAAAAAAGAATTTTTATTTAATTGATGGCCATTTGGGAATCTCCATTTAACTTGACTTGCTAAAGTTTTGACAGTTATTCTCTTATTTCACATTTTCATTCAATAAAGTCTGCTTAGTTTAGCCATTACTTTCTATAGATGTAACATAGATTACCGTTAAATTGAAGAAATCAGCATATTGATCAACTGAATCACTCGAGGCGGGTTCGTGAATGTGCACTACTGAGGAGTCCCACAAAAAAACGAAACGGCGATCCAGTGCTTCCAGGTTTTCCATAGTGGTTTAGCTTCAATTGACTCATTGATCTCAACTGTTGAAATTCTTAAGAATTAGAATCAATATCTCGTTATTATCCATCAACGATAACCAAACAATGGTAAGCAATGATGTTGTAGCTTTGTGCACTAGTATTCCAATTGATAAATGTATAGACTTCGTTAATGATTTACTAGAGAATGAAAATACTCTATCTAGCAGATGTCCATTAAACATTAGTTCAATCATGAAATCGCTCAATCTATGCTTGAATTCAACAATATTTATTTTCAAAAGGACTTTCAATAAACAAACAAAAGGAGTAGCCTTGGGATCTCCAGTATCTCCAATTGTTGCCAATTTATTAATGTCCCATGTTGAGTCTCATATTTTTGCCAGTAACAACAGACCATGCATCTGGCCCAGATGTGTACATAACACATTTTTCATTATTAAAAAGACCCTTTTTGAAAATTTCTTTAAACACAAACAAGTTCTTGGAAAACATCAAATTCACTTTCACAAAGGAAGATTAACATAGTGAACTAACATTCTTCAAGTGTTTAGTTAAAATAAATTCTAGTGGAAGTCTAAATCTAAATTACTCCCTAGTGTACATTCCGTACTTAATGCTGATGCATCACCTATAGGTACTAGTGCAGTTTTTGAGCAGAAAGGTAGACCAGTAATTAGTGTTCCATGCAAACTTAGAGTTGCTGAACAAAGTTATTCACAAACTCAGTGAGAAGCATGAGCTGAATTTTGGACTGCTAAACGATTTCATAAATATATATTTGAAGAAAATTCACTACTGTTGCTAAGCTTGAAGCTTTAAAGTTCATTTATCATTCTGAAAAATCCTTAGCACGTATCTCAGCTGCTATGGTTCAACGATGGAGTACCGCTCTGAGTGCCTGTAACCATACGATTAAGCCAAGAAGTCTCAAACAAATTCAACATGTCGACCACATTTCTTGACATTCATTGCAAGATAAACCTGTCATTATTGCAGATGGTGTATTAATGCAAACTTTACCGACGACACATTCAGATCGCATACGAGAAACTCGGTGACACTTGGGATGTATATTTAGTGATATTCGAAAAGTTTGGAATGCTAATCTGAAACGTAGATTTCCCATCTATTTTTCAAAGCGGGCTGAGTTATCCACCAATCCGCATGGTGTTTTCTGTTTAATGATCGTGTTGTTATTCCTCCTTTATTATGTAAATCTGTTCTTGAAGGTTTTCATAATGGATATTTTAGCGTTGAGAAAATGAAATTCTTGTCAAGGTTTATATATCGGTGACCGAAGATAAATGCAGATATATGTCGTAGAGCAAACAATTGTGGAGGATTTTAAGTCTAAAAATCATCCTTCGAATTGGACTCCATGGCCAATATCGTCTGTTACCCACCAGAGAATTTATTTAGGCTATTGTAGTTCATTTCTCAGCAAATAACTTGCACTTTTCTTCATTAATTCTCTTTTTAATGAGCCTGAGGCTCTTTTCAAAACTTTGCAATGCAAGCATTAGTGGAAGATTTTAGTCGGGAGATGGTCTCTATGTTATTAGTGACCGATTATGGCTCTCATTTCACTGCAGATACAGTCATTACCTAGTTGGACGGTATAGGACGTAGACATCTGTTCACTGCTTCCATGTGTTATATCTAAAGCTTAGATTCTTAATATACCGCGGTGTCCTGAGCACTCGGACGCTAGAACCCTCCCAAGCGCAAATAAGAAGACAGAAGACAGAAGAAAGTGCTCGTTGGGCAAGAATCAAAATGTACAGAAAATCATGAGTATTTTTTAGATATTAGTGTTTGTTGAATCAATATTATAATCCAACTAATCAGCAAAGAGGCATGTTATGTTACTGAACAATAGTAGCATGCCACGTTGTTATTCTAGAAAGCCTCATTACGTTCTGATTGGGTGGAACTCTTCGACTCTTCTAGGGCTTCTGAAGACTCCGTCATACTTCACGGATGCCGTCCCAACACCAGGCTTCCTTGTTCTAGTGATCAGGAAAAAATGTTCGTCAGGACATTAAAAACTGCTACTAATTCCACTGCTGCTTCAACATCTGATGAACTAAAAAAGAGGAGTGGGCACATTTCTACTGCAATATAGAAATGCTTAACATTCTGTAACGAAAAAGACTTCATCAAAGTCACTTGAAGGAAGGATTTTCCGTTTGAATATGAGGTTTTTTGAATCTGCAGAAGTTACATGTTATGGTTGAAAGGATCTTCAATCATTCAAGAGGATTGTGGTGAAGAATATTGGAAAATCTATGGTTCGAATTCTAGATACCGATGATTTAAGTACACACAACTAACATGTCGATCAAATACAATCCCCGGAACCAGGTGAGTCTGTTCAAATTCCCACTGTTAATTCTAATACTATAGGTATACTCTCGATCATACAGAATTTACATCCAATACACAGTCGGATAAACATACAATGAACTTAAGGAGAAGTACGATTGATTACAGAAATTTAAATTCCACTTCAAACTGTTTTGGTGGCGGTAATTGTACTAACTGACGATTCCTTTGTACTTGATTGCACACTTATCACGAGTCCCAAATATGATACGTTCACTTGTGTTCATCTGGTCCCAACTGCTTTAAATCGCATTATTTTGGAATTCCTAGTAAGCACACTAATTCGAATAGTTCTAATCATCTTACAAAGATAACTTTGGTAGTGTAGCTATTAGTTCGTCCATAATACAGCTTTCATAAGTATTTTATTGTTTACGTTAATCAGTGTAGACGTTGACCATCTACACTAGCTTCTCTGTTTTTCGTTACATATCTTCGACAGAATTTCATGAATCAGACACCATGTGACGATTGAGTCAACTATACCCTCCAGTTCTCTTCTTAGCTTATTGTGACCTTTAATAGACATGCTTATAATTGTGTCCTTGTAATTCTACACATATAATTACACACATAATTATATTATTCATTCCCTTTCTCCACACTGGTATCATTTTGAGTTAATTTAAGGTTTATTAGTCGCTTCTTAATATAAATGTCAACTAATAACGGAATTGGCGAAATGAAGTCATTTCGTAACATTTCATACTTCGGTTATTGGATTCAACGTTGTACAAACATGATAAGTCAATGGTCAATTATGAAATGAAACACAAAATGGGTAAACATGAAAGAGAACCCAGACAGAGTTACTAAAATCATTTATTGCACATAAAAATGAAGCAAAACTATATATTTCAATACTTCGAAAATTTCAAATATATCGTGAAGTGTAATAAAAATACGCTAAATAGCGTATTTATATCAAGCGGCTAGAACAACTGTTATTATAGCGAATGAAGAACAAATCAATGGAAATTATCGAAATGCACATGATTTATTATTTAGTATGGTACAAGAATTAAGACAAAGAAACATTCATGTTCCATTTGAAATGTTTGAAAACTTAACTTTATTACATTCTTATATACTTGCAAAGGTAGGTTATTAGTTTTGTTTACAAAATATTGTAAATAATAGTTCATTTTCCTTTGGATTTATTAAATCAAGAAAATATGTAGTTTACATTAGATAGAAACTAAAATAAATAAATAATTTATACTACTGTATTGTGATAAGTCAATGAAAACTATTTAATATTATGTTGCTCCCCCCCCCCACACTTGCTTTTCTCCAGGTCTAATTGTACGGCTAAGTTATTTAACACAAGTATATAGTATATATAGTATATGATTAAATATATTTAACATGGCTCCTTGAAGTTAAACTCTTTGCTCATAGATGATGAACATTAAAGGACATCTGTCACTTGAGAAGGATCTAATGCTACTCTAGAAATTTGAACTTGCACCCCGTACTTCAAGAGATTTATAAATTAAGACCGATTCATGTGGAGCAAACTATGCTTGGGACAAGGATTTTTTCTTAACACCTAACACTGATGTCGGTAGTACATTGATGACCGATAAGGTTAGGATATTAAAGTCTTTTGGGAGAGATAGGTTAGTAATATTTTTCAGTATCCTCGTCAAACAATTTTGAACGAGGTAAACTACGCAGTTATTTAAGTAGTTACAGATAAATCTGCTATTTACAATAAACTTGTAGTCTACATACTTGTAATAGTGCATCATTTTGATAATTACTTGTTTTCATGATCAGATTCTATTCTAGCAGATATATTTATCTGAATTGTGTATAAATTTTTATTTGCCCACCAAAGCAGTTACAATGGCAGAACAAACACAAGTGCTATTTTGGATGTCCTGGAGAACATTCATGAAGAGATTTACTCGACGGTGGTCAGTAGCTCGACGTTTAGATGTTTCATGTATACAGATTATAAAGTAGACACTACTAAATCTTTTAAGGCGACCAATTAAAAAATAAGCCGTGCTCTTCTGAAGTTATTGTTAAAAAAGAAAACAGTGTTTTTATTTTTCCTTACCATGGTAACAAATCATCTACTTCTATTGTAACTTTCAAATCGTTCTTTTATTTGGTTCCTCTGTTTTAGGCACTCTTTTACTTCATAGTTCTTCTTTAAACTAACTGAGATCTACATATTTTATCATTTATCTATAATTAAGCTTTTATCCGCTACAATGTTCTTTGATTAATCACTTTAGACTTATATGTATCTTTATTGAATTTTCACGATATCTCCAGCTATTTATAATGTTATTCATAAGCTAGCAGTGAACATCTGGATTCAGTAGCACAATACATAATGCGATCGGTGTTTCAAGCAAAAACTAATAGGTTTGAGTCCCGATATAAATATTAACACTGGCACGTAATTGCATCTAGCTAATCAGTCTCAAATACAACGAGATACGCATTCTGTATTCTAATATTAGCCACTATAAAACTTCACTAAAATTTTCTTCATTTGTTCAACTTTACCTAAATCATCACTTACACTACTTATGTTTCCATATTAGTAACTTCAAAAAGTGTCCCTTTCTACTACTTATATATGTATGGTATTTTTTATGAAATGTTTATTTCTCTTGTAAGGTTCATGTTAAAAATGGTGAACATTTACTTGGCGCCAGAATGTTAATTCGTGTATCAGAGAGTATAAGTAAATTTCCTGCTCGTGAGTTACAAAAAATTTTAATAACTCATTGAAGTTTAGTGTATTAATCATAAAACATGTTGTAATCTAAGGATTTTACTTATTTCATATGGAACATATTAATTCAAAAATAAAGAGAATTCAGCGAAGAAAACCTTCTGTTCTCGGTGAAAACATTTACTTAACTTCTAGACTACTAAGACGGCATCCAACGGTGTTAATGTCTAACTTCAACTAATCCACGATATTGCGCAACCGTCTTCTATTGTCTTCGGTAACTGCCTCATAACAGATATAAATGAGCTCCACTTATCAAGACTTCTCACTAGAACTCCAGGAAATCTATCTTGAAGCCAGTCACTAGTTAGCACATGATAATTATCAGTAAAGGGTTGCGGACCGAGGTCTAAGATCCTGGGTTCAAATCCTGTGTACTTAGTTTGTACTCCAAAGCGAACATTAAAACTGGGATCCTAGCGAACCCAACTGAAGTGTCCCATATAAACTGAAATACTTATCTAGAATTTCATTGCTAATCACAATCTCTTTACTCCATTCAAATATTTCTGTACTGTTTAGAATACAAATAAACGATAAATACAGTCATTGAGATATCACAAATTCCGTGCACATAGATTGTTGAATAGATAACCTGAATGACTCTTGAATAAATGTAAAAATAAATTGATAAATATAAGCCCAGTCTATAACATGCGACGAATTAAAACAGATTATTGGCGCGCTATCACTAAACGAGTATATAAAATATCTATGACAAAGAAATATCTAACCAAATAAATTTCTTCAATAAAGAATACACAATTGATACTAAACATACTATGAACTTAATAAAGCAACATTTCAGTATATACCTAGTGAAAAACATAAACAGATTTACAAAAACTATTAAAAGTATACCAACAATATTGTCAACGTGATCTGACCTTGGTATCGATGTATATAATAGTCAGTAATCAACCATATATCCTCAATTCATTTATCCATAAGAAGAACATCTTCCTCTCTAACATTATAATTGTTTCATGAAAGTTAATAAGACATTAGATAAACAAACAGGATGTTCACAGTCCAATCAACTAATCACTTATTGAATAGCAGTCTTACATAAAGCATACAAATGTAGAATCCTTTACAGTAACAACAGGAAAATATATCTATATATACATAAATGATAAGTCAACAAAATAACACAAATTACACACTCAAAGAATTCCAGTTATTATTGACAAAACGAGGCAAATCAGTTCACTTCATAAACAACATTAAATAAACGTTATGTTATTAAAATACGCTAAATATTGATTCACTGGAATGCACTGCTGACATTCCATCACATGTTCATTAAATACGAATTTATAATCAGTTTTACGAACAACTGAATTACAATAAATAAACGAATGAGTAAATATCAATGTGCGATTTATAGAAATAAAGGGTAAATTTATTCACATAACTCAATGATTTTCACTATAAACTAATTATCATGAGAACAGATTTCATGTGTTTGTTATTCGCAATTGTTCTATACTCACTGTTATGTCTAAAAGTTAACAGTCAATCGAAACCAAACCAAGCAACACTTAATAGAACATCCGAAACAAAAGACTCAGAACAAACAAAACACAAAAATGGCCTTAGCAACACGGTAACAAGAGAAGATACAAATAGACAGTCTCTAGAAGAAACGGAAGATTCACATTCAAGTAAAAATGACGATGTCGGATTCCAATCTTCACAACGAAAATTCCAACTGAAATACTCAAATCAAAAAGAAGTGATATTTATACTAGCGGTTACCAAACATTCCTCGGAAAACGTAGACGAGGCAGTAAATCACATGTGAAAACCATATTCAGAAAACGTTCTGGCTACGATCACAATGGTCGAAAGAAACGAAGTTCCATATTCGAAAGTTATGGTGAGGCAGACAGTTTCGATAGAAAGAAAATACGTGATGTGTTCGATGTGAATGGATATATTTCGGAGGGTCGAAAGCGTAGTAAACTCGGTGGATACATCCAAGAAGAACAACATGCGTTTCTATCAGGTGGACATAAGTCGCAAGTTTCTCGAAATGATAGCATATCTCTTGAGGGTAGTAGTAATTCCGTAAGCGACACACGTGATCAAATATCTCATAGTCAAGATAAAGATAGCATTAAAACGAGAGCAGAAAGTGGCCCAATGAAAACTCGAAGATGAAATAAATAAATATCTCAAATTTACACGTCCACACGTTAATGAATATTCATTGTTCGAAATTAATATTCAGTTTCCCATTACTGTTCCTTCGCCAATCACATCAAATTAAACTATATCAACCATGAATTAGTAACAGTAAACTGGCAATGAATTCCAACCATCATCTGTTCACATCAACAATCAATATGATTTTGTTCTTACCAATCATTCATTCTTATCTTTCAAATCATTTTTCACAATCGATGGGCGTTAGGTACATTAGGTTCCCTCTCGTCATCATATTAAGTCCTAGTTTACGAAATTCACTACTTTCATCTCCCTCATCACTGGAAGATGGAATCTGTTGAAAACCCTTTGTACTCTTCTAAATCACATTTGCAAACTCTAATAATTGATTGTAACAAACCACGCATTGTTAGAGCAGGTGGGTTAAATGTATTTAAAAATAAAAGAAACCAAAAACATTTCCCTTTATTCACGCCAATCAATCCAGACAAATTGCACCGTACATTTTATACATTCACACGTGGATTACCAGTCATGTTACAGGATGAACATGGTAGTTGAAACAAAAAAATGATAGAATGATCGCGTTTCCGATGCACTTGTCTACGTATAAATTTCAGTGCTTTCATCCTCAATTGTCTTAGATGATACATACGGATGATTACACGTAGACAACACATTGAACCCTGTTTACAATACATTATATAAGGTAGTTATTTCAAACTGAATTTTATTCGTATACGACGTTGTATTATAATGAATGTCCAATCCGTACACGACTATTCCAACATCTCAAATGCATTCAGTTTCAAACTGAGCCAGAACATGTCTTCCGTACTTAGTAATTCTTTTCCATTCCTTTACATCGACTTTCACGAATTATTGAAGTACCAAACCACTGTTGATTACAATGATTTTCATTCATCTATCCACTTCACATCCATCACATGAAATGCCTTGATAATCAATTCGCAATGAAATATCTTTAACAAGTCAAGTCTTCCGACACTCGGTTTTCAATTCATTAACCAAGGTAAAGTGTGATTACTCTAAAGATATGCTATGGATATGATTGACTCTGAGATCAAATGCAGCTAGTTAGTAGGGATAGAAGGTCTTGTTGATTACATCAGTATTTAACATAAACCAAACGACAACCATTTCACAATTAGTTGGTCACTGAGTAGTGGACAATGTCTCATATTTCATGTCCTTCATAATGCTGATCGATAGAAATGAAAATGTCAAGTTCTTTAGACTACTATTAACCACATTCCAGTTTGATCGATAGAATTCGATCAGCTAATGAAAGACAAGAGATAAACGGTATTGGTCACTACCAAATGATCAATCAATCGTAAATACACCTCAGTCCTACAGCATATCATTGTAGGCACGATGGAAAAATGATCGAGAATGAGTTATGTCTTTGACAAGATCAAGTGTGTGAAATTCTGTTACACCTTACATTGGGATGATAGTGTTATTCAGTATTCACTGCTAGATTTCGATCTGTGAAGAAAACTGTCTTCCACAAGATAGACACCAAAGTTATGAAAATATGGAAAATAATGCTCTGCAGTACGATCTAAAACGTTGAGTAATCTTGATGAACCTATCCTTTTAATCGATAAATCACATCACGGAAAGTTTCGAGATCGACTATGATGTTAGCAAGAAATTTAAAACAGACACTATAAGTAAACTTCAATGTATGTAATTTATTACTTTAAAGAGAGCAAGAACAAAGGTTGGCTCAAATAATATCAATTCATTTTATTTCGTTAGGTTCTCATCAGCTGCTTACAACCTAAAATATTTGAAATTTAAAGTTATTATAGATATTGACATACTTATACATAACAGGGCGATGAAGGATGAATATATGTAACATGACGTAGCAAAGATTTAGTTAGAGTTAATGAGGTCATAAAATTTTGTTTCGAATGTGTAGAGTTTGTGAGGGAAGGTTCCAGAACAATGAAATAGTGATTAGAAATCATGGAATTAAAACACATAAGATTATTCTTTCAATGAAGCAACTGAAAATAGATTAATGTGAATTGAAATCGGTCAGTTATGAATGATGTAATTATAAAATTCAGAAAGAGTTGGAATGACGTAATAAATAAAGGGTGGGGTAATGTTACCAGGGCAAAGAAAGATTTATTACTGTTTCTTTTTGCATACAAAGATCTAGTTTTAAACGTTTGATTGCTATCGCTTAGTTAAATTTCAAAAGGTTTGAATTTGATCGTTTGTTGATCACCTTGAAGGACTTCAGTATATCGACTTCGTGCCCTGTGTCGAGGAGATGTTTTGTGATAGCGCTGCTAAATGCTTTTAGTCCGTCTGATCTCAAACCCTTCGGAATATGTACTTTGAATCGGACGTAGGCTCTCCTTTCTGTTCTATCAATATAACTGCTTTGGTAGATACATGTAAATTTGTATACACAGTTGGTGGTATCATGAAAGGGATACCTGTCGACCTTTGATTGTGTCAAAGAACATTTCGTTTAGGACAGGACAATCAATTTAGCTGCAGGATATGTTTTTGTCAATGCAGTTTTTAGTCTCATATTGATTGACCCTGTGACATTATCGCCTTTGAATTTGAGTTGAATAAAACAGGTTTTTTATTTACTGTAGTTTCTCTAGGCATTTTATCTTTACAAGCAAAGATAGACAGTGGCTAGCAGTGGAATACAGGACGCGCTTTCGTCCTGTTTGGGACTCGTCAGCCGGATGTACCTGCATCTCATAGTTGGTGTTCACTCTGGGACTCGAACTCAGCACCGTTCGCTTCAAACGCCATCGCGTTA